AGTTGAAGGCACACAGCTGCCTGCCCTAAGTGCAGAGTAGCAGAGCTGAGCCAGCTGGAGAGAATTTATTAATTCCCCACAGGAACATTACAAAAGGGATGAGCTGGGCAGCGTGGAGGTCTGACAGTGATAGTCTAGGGCAGAAGGATCTCTAGGGAGATCCTTAATGCAGGGTGGGCAGGGGACCAGGAATCCTTTTCTGAGGGAAATCTTATCACCTTGGGTCCTAAAAGGGCGGAGTATGTTTTACAGTGCCACCTCCATTTCCCAAGGGAGCACAACTTAAAGGGGTTTAGCTCCTCTCACAGACCTGGAATGCTTTTCTACTCTCTCTAAATCAGAGGATCAAGCCCTCTCAGGGGTCATGAAATTACTGGGGGGAGCTGTCAAATTCCACCCCAAACCCAGCATTGCCCCCAGCCTTTATAATGGTGTTAAGTATATTTTTAAAAGCAGTTTCAATTCACAGTGTGTGTGTGTCTGTATGTACACACTCAGAGGCTTTTTTTTTTTTTTATCTGAGGAAGTGGGTCTGGCCCAAGAAAGCTCATCATCTAATAAACCATCTTGTTAGTCTTTAAAGTGCTACATAGTCCTGTATTTTGTTTCAGCTACACCAGACTAACATGGCTACATTTCTATCACTATTCTACAAAGAAAGTGCTTGTAGGATTGAGTCAATAATTTGGTAGAAGAACAGCTGAATTTTATTCTGCTATATGAGAGGGTCACCAGGACAAATGTTTGAGAATCACTGCTCTAAGAAGCCTCTAACTCAAGAGGCTCGCTACTACCCAAGCAGTTGGAACTTGACACCCACACTTAGCTAATTGGAGACAATAGTGCATTGGGGGTTTTTAATAATAGCTAGAGAGGAGGGGGAGGGGAGAGTTATCCTTAGCGGCTCACAGATCCTCAGTTGAATCAATTGGCATGGCTACACTGACTTATTCTAACCCACTGTGTTTTGCCTAACATGAATTACCTGCTTGGAAGCTGCTCCTGAAATGTAAGGAAAACTACTGAGCCCTGAGTGGATGCTGGCTAATTAGGTGATAGAAAAAGAGAAACTTTTTCCTAGACTAGAGCCAGAAGGATACTGACTAGAGACTGTCCAGTACCTGAGAAAGTTCTCAAACTGCAGTGGCTATTAAGCAAAGCCAGCTTGTGCTTTTTTGTTTTTTTGTGCAGACACTAAGTCATAGCATTTAAAAATACAAACACCTAGATAATTAGAGGAACTTCAAATGCATCTTCATGGCTTTTCCAGACAGGATGACCTTGTCAGCTGTTCTATTTTGTATCGATTCCCACAAAGCCCAGCTTTTCGCAGCCTTCCGTTTCAGACACGGCACCTTGTTCCCCTGTATCTTGACGCAAAGAAATTAGATAAAAACTATTGATTAGCCAGGCACAGCGGGGAGGGACGTGTCTGTAACCTTCCTTTGTCTCGCAGCATGGCAGCTGAGGCAGCAGCAATGGGATTCTGCGCGATGAGGTCCGGGATGAGGTCACACTGCTGCGAAGGGAAAGAAAAGACAGCAGTCAGCTGGAGCGCTGGCCCTGCACAGAGTTTATGATATTGTTTGCCAGACTGGGACTGGAGGGTCATTTCTCCCCAGGATAAAGTTGCATTGTTTCTCCACTGCAGTTAGCTGGATTTAAAAAACACATTTGTATAAACAACCCCCTCCTATTTGTATAAAGAACCCACTCCGTCCCTTAAAGTTGCTGACTACAGGAAGGGGGAAAGTAAAATAAATGGATCAGTTATTTATTACAATAATGCAGGTCCCCACCCTCTATGTTTTTCTCAGGACTGGAAGCTATGCTGAAATCCCACCCCCTGTACAAAATAGATTTAATAGGGATTTTCAAGGAACATGAGCCAATATGGGCTGCACTGGTTAAGTAATATTTTAAGTAGCTATCGATTAAGTAGCTATAGCAGCATTTTATTGGAGCCATTTCTCAGCTGAGAAAGAGAGGAATTTATTTCAGTTCTGTTTCAAGCAATAGACATCCCATCCCATCCCATCCACCGAGAAACTTCCAAACAACACTTTATCTCCAAGTACTTTTCCCATTAATCTCTCCCATACCCCAGAAGGCTGGTGAGCCAACGCTATAGGTGGAGAAACTGAGTCATGGACATTGTGTGACTTGTCTAATGGGACTGCATGGGAATCAGTTAGAACCCAGGAACATGTGACCTCCAGGCCTTTGTGTTAGAATAGAACACGATTTGTATTCTTCTACTTTCCTGAGGTAAGGAGTAGAGGAAATATGGAAACCAATAATAGTACATCTCCATGCAGGGGTGGATATAGGGCAGGGTGAGCGGGGCGGCCGCCCCGGGCCCCACGCTTCAAGAAGCCCCGCGCATGCGCAGTGGCGCCACCGCGCATACGCTGTGGCAAAGGGGAGCCCCGCGAAATTGGGCTGCCCTGGGCCCCGCAAAATGATCATCTGCCCCTGTCTCCATGTGAGGTGAAATCATACCCTCTGATGATGGTTAAGATTTTAAAGTCTGTTCTGACAGCTCCAGCATCCTGTCTGCTTTGGAAGGGACAAGTTTTTGAGCCTTGAGTAAACAAGCAATGGACAGCGACAGCAGTAGCTGGATAGCAAAATGCAGCTCGTGCCCTTTGGGTTATATAGTAGTCAGCACTTGCAGCTCAGTAAATAACCCAGCACAGGCAGAGGCTGGATTTTTAGTTGCCTGGCATTATTGTACAGAAGTGACTGCCTGGGGTACAAAAGTGACTGGGGTTAAGATGCCTGTTTTCAGATTGACATCTTGCTCCCCTAACAGAATGATTCACTGAGCATTCTTCAGGTACAACTTCAGTGTTACCCTCTCTCCTGGGTCTGCTCCCATGGAGTTTCCTGTTGGAAAAGCAAGCCCTTTCCTTATCCTCCCTTCTCCTGCTTCAAACCATACTTGTAGCTCAGTATAAAAATACGGACCAGACCATAGTTAGGCTGCACAGCTGCATCCTGTTTCTGGCTCTGCCGTAATCTCCCCGTGAGATCCAAAGAAAGTCACTCTCTGCCCCTCAGTTTACCACTGTAGTCTTGCCCCTCCCAGAGATGACAGTACTCCCTCCCAGGTTGTTGTGAGACTTTGTTCTTCTATGTCTATAAGGCCCCTAGAGATGGCTGATGCAAGATGCTCTAAGACCTTGTCTACACTAACATGTTTTGTTGCCAAAACCTGCCTTTTGGCGACAAAACTACAATGCAACTTTTGTTGGGAAAAAAAACCTGTTTTGCTAACAAAAAACTTCCACCTCTGCAAGAGTCTAGCAACATAGCCATGAAATGTCGACGATGGGAGTGTAAAAGCCCTAGCTCAGTCCTGGGGCTTGGGACTGTGTTCAGGCCAGTGAACAAACCTCTGCAGGCCCTCTTTAAGCCCAGGTCCTGAGTACAGGGTGGAGCAGGCAAACAAAACACAGTTCAGCAGTTTTAGGTCAGCCCAGACCCTGGTGCAGGGCAGAGCGGGCAGACAAACACAGTTCAACTGTATAGGGGCTCAGGCCTGACAGCAGGCCAAGCTGAGTTTATCGGGCCACGCCCAGGGTCCGGGCAGGGCAACCAACCAACAGTTTACAAACAGCAATCTTAAGCAGTTATGGGCTCTGGGCACTCTGCAAGTGGAGCTAATTGTTTATAGGGCCCAGCTTTTGATCAGAGCAGGGCAACAAGCACAGTTACAGGTAAGGGCTCAGACCTGGCCGTAGGTTGAGCAGCAGTTTACAAGGCCCAGCCCTTGGTCAGGGAGGGGCAACAACCAGTACCAAGAGTTAAACAGTTTACAGCTCAGACTTGTGGACAGGCTGAACAGAGGTCGGGTCTCCTTGCAGGCAGAGAGCTGACAAGAGCAGGGCTTTTATCCCCACAGGGTGGCAAGGTGAGGAGTTGCAGGGAGGATGCAGGTCCACCCGCTTCTCTGCGTCCCAGCCCAGGACCCTAACAGTGGCAGTGCGGGCTGCCACTGGGTCGGCGGGGATCCTGGCCGCAACAGGCCGACCAGGTCAGGGGTCAGCAGGGATCCTGGCTGCAACATGCTGCCCAGTTGACCTCCATCGCCTCAGCCAGCCCTCGGTTGTCTTCCCCTGGGCTGCTTCCCAGTTTCCCCTGGGGGCCTACCTGGCTCCACTTCTGCTCTGTGGGGTCAGCCAGGGACAACAGTGCTGGCAGTGCAGCCCAATCTCCTGAGTCTGGCAGGGGTCCTGGACAGCCCAGCCAGTGGTTTGGGCTTGGTGGTGGTCCTGGTGACCCTGGCCCATCTTCTGGGGCTGGTTGTGGCCCAGGCAGCCCAACCCAGTCTTCCCTCCTGGGGCGGGGTAGCCCCTCCTGCCTCCTCAGGAGCACAGGGAGAGCATCTGGCTTGCACACCTGCCAGGATCCAAACTGAGCTCTCCGCTCCTGCTCTAATAGTCCCAGTCCTGTCTTTCTGCTTCCTGTAGGCGGTGCTGGGGTGCTCAGGCACCACCCACCAAGGAGTCTTAGGGAGTGCTTCCCCTTCTGGGTCAGCAGGAGGCCAAGCTGACTCATTACAGGGAGGTAGGAAAACTGGTTTGACGGTTTTTCACTTTTGGCGACTTTTGCCTGTCGACAACACTTTGGTCGCCAACCTTCCCAGTGTATACGTAGGAGACAGCAAAGCACGTTGCTGTGCTCTGTTTAATTTCACGACTGCAGGGGTTCTCAAACTTCACTGCACCCTACACCTGCCTTCTGACAACAAAGTTGCTACATTCTTTTAATAGCCACGCTCCCATTGACTTCATTTGGAGTGATGGGTGTTCAGCAACTCTGAAAACTAAACCTGATGAGTCTGAGGTGGGACTGCCAAAACAGAGGTGCTCAGATGCAGCAGACCTTTGACTTTAACAGGATTCAAGAAAGAACTAGATAAATTCATGGAGGTTAGGTCCATCAATGGCTATTGGCTAGGATGGGAAGGAATGGTGTCCCTAACCCTATTTGTCAGAGGCTGAGAGTGGACGACAGTGGGTGGATCACTTGATGGTTACCTGTTCTGTTCACTCCCTCTGGGGACCTGACATTAGCCACTGTCTTTGAAACTCATGCTGGGAACCCAAAGTTAGAGACACTGTTGAAAATTATATGTTCTTATGAAGAACTGGGAATAGATTACAAGTCGCCTGATTTCAATGTTTTGCCTCAGTCCAAAATTAACCTTTCATCTTATTTAATGAATGTACTGTCTGTATATCGCTTTACTCTGTTTTCATTTAAGGTTAGATAGCCACATCCTGTATAAGAGTTGATTACCACTCAGTCCTCTGCGTCTAGCACAACTGAGTCATGTTTACCACCGCTTCAATGGCTTCCTGGAGCCTTAACTCTGCACATCTGGTGTGGATGGAAGTTACTCACTTGCCCTGACATTCTGTACTTTGAAGAGACATTTTGCAGGAAGCAAGTCCCTGGATATCTAGGAATGGTGAAAATGGTTAGCATGGATAGGGTGGGTGAATTCATTTTCTAGATTCCTCCAATCCAGCACAGTCCCTCACCAAAGCTATAAATACATTACACAGAGAATATCTGCTTCTGATGGAAGTCAATGGGAGTTCTGTGATCAGCTTCAGCTCCTAGCTCATATGTTGTACACTGTTGTAATTCTGTTGCAATTTTGCAGACTGTGTGTGCCTCTTCCTTGTTGCAGCTCAGACATTAAACAGACATTTCCATCAGTAAGTGTTTTCTGTCTTCCCTTTGTTACCCCAACCTGCCAAAATCAGAGGCATCTGACATGAGAGAAAGCCAGTTTTGTTTAATTCATCTCAGATTTATTTTGTGACATTTCCTGGATGCATTTACCCATCACATTATTAAATCAGGGTTTATTTTCTGGAGGCTAGAGCTACAGCTTTGGCTATATTTCTATACAGAAATTTAAATAATGTGAACACATAAAGAAATTGGTCCCTTTCAGGTGCGTTTTGCAGATGACAAGAGCACACACTTAATCACAGGCCTCAGGCCTTTTAAAATAATAATCTTATTTTTTTCATCATTTGAAATGTTAACAGAGAATTTTCACAGAAGAGAAGGGAACCCATCATTTGTTTTTTTGGCAATTTGTTCCTTTAATTATGATGAATCACCATTTGGCAACAGCACAAAGGAATATGCTTTTGCACATCTTTGTTCCTTCAGAGCGACTGGTAGAAGGTCAATCTCCTTCAAAAAGAAGTTCAGCTATCTATCCTTAGGAGCCTCATAATTTGCCCCACAAAAAATTGGAAGGGCTTTTTTGCCCCATGGGAAGAATACTTGGTTGTGTTTCACAGAATATATTTGTTGCTGTCAATTTGGGTGAAGTCTGGCTCATGTGGCAATCTACAAAGTTCCAAGATCAAAGTGATCTCATCTCCTAATAATATTCTGAGTAGTGATGAGTAAGACACAGTGAATTGACAAATTTTCTGCTGAAGTAAATAGATTCAGCTTGATGACTTCATTAACATTTCACCCATATGTATCACTAGAAAACTTGGCCTTAAAGGCTTGGTTTGGCTCAGATTAGAGATCCAAATTTTGCAGCTGGAACTTACGTCTATATGAAGGATCATTCAAAAATGTGCAAGGTTATTGAGACATTTGCTCTAGAAAGAGATTTAGAAATCTCATTAAAATAACCTTTCTTATGACACTTCTCGCATGTTTTGGAGAAACAAGTGAAGTTCGTTTTTCTGCTTCCGACTCAGAGACAAACAAGGGGAGAGGTACATGCAAGTGTAAAAGAAAAAGATAAAGATAAATGTAATATTTTTCATACCTCATAAAGGGTCCAGATTTGGCTTGGTTCATGAAGCTAGACCAAAATTTTATTCATTCTCCCCCCACCCAAATCTGGCCTACCCATACCTAGTGGTGATATTTTACTAAAATTCTCTCACCTCTTCTAGAAAAAGAGACAAAGGAACAAAAAAGTGGTGTATTTAAGAACAAAAGAATGAAGATGGTTTTATTACACTCTTTTGGGGCCATTAAATCATTCCATATTTAACACTAAATAAAAGTCATGGTCCACCTGAAACTTTGGGAGACCGAATGGTAAAATCATTTCGATCTTCAGTTAATACATTCCATCCATTACACAACTCTACTAAGACTCCAAAAAATGGGCAAGACATTGATTTAATTAAATTACATGAATTAAAAAGACAGTTAGAGGGCTGAACAACAGAGTGGGTTTGTTAATTATGAGCTTTGGTAATTATGAGCTACATTGTCAGCCATTGGAAGTGAGAGGCATATTTACAGAATCCATAGTATGTTTGCTCTGG